ATTTTGAATGGACGCTCTCAGCTCGAGATGAAGCACAATAAGTTGTCGCTGTGTCCATGGTACTATTGAAAGCACTATTGAAACCACTAGAGTCTCCACAGGTAGAAAATCTCAACTCTGAAGATGCTCCTGTTAGGGAACGAAGAAAATTAAAATTAGAACGAGAAATATACTAATAATTTGCGGTGTTCGTCAAACTAAGTATGTACAGTAAAAAGCTGATATTCTATTAACAAAGAATCAAGCGAAACCGGAGCATAAGCTCTACGATAATTTCAATTCTTTTAAATCGCATGTTTCGTATATTTTCATGTTCGAAAAGTGATTAATTAAGCAGATAAAATGTTGATTACTTTGACCCGAAGGTTTCACCGGTTATTGTTAGAGATCCAGTTGATGATTAGATGATCATCAAGCAATTGGTTAAACTACGATGTAAGGAAAGTTAACGCTTTGGATATCGTTTAATGGCCTAGAGAAAAGTCGATCTTCCAAATAGAATCCAAAATTATCAAAGGCTCCTGCAGAAGGTTAAACGCACCAGCGAACGTCAATGTGTTAGATTTTATCGACATTATATTAGATGGTTAATCGACAATCAAAGAAAATTAAAGGAAACAAAAGCGAGACAAACACTGGACATCACAAAAGCATAAAGCAACAGGAATGTTAATTGTGATCGAGAGAGAGAGAGAGAAAAAGTGCAACTTGAACGTAAATCTAATGATTTACATTTTTCGAAACAACATGCGATTTAAAGACACCAGAATATCCAATTAGATTAAAAAAAAAGAAAAGAAAGTGCGATAATCAAGACGATTAATTAAAGAGAGAGATGGAGATTGGATTCAATAAAATCTTGATGGTGCAAAAGTAAATTAACAAACAAGCAACTGATTTACCGTTGGTGTAGTAGCTGTGGTTTGAAAAACTTGTGATGATTCCGTCTCCTGATGACAATTTAAGTTTTAATTCCTCCAGATAATTGAGACAAGACATAAATGTTGGTCTCATGTCTGAATTGTAACACCAGCATTGATTCATCAAAAGGAACCTATTGAGAGAGAAATCAATCAAATTAAGAGTTCAGTTTATTCGACTCTGATGATTTTAAACACTTACATCTCCTCTAAACAGTTTGGTGGCCTTTCAGGTCGACCACCACTTCGAACATGGTTCAATACTTCTTGATTACTACGAGCTGGGTATGGTTGTTGACCTAAAGTCATAACTTCCCAAAGTAGAACACCGAATGACCAAACATCCGATTGGGTCGAAAATGGCGTAAACTAAACTTTCCGGGCCATCCATCGAACTGGCAGCAAACCCTCGCCCTCTTTACGATAATAATCATTTTATAAATATCTCGAGCTAGACCAAAGTCACCGATTTTAACGATTCTTGATTCACGGTTTTGCTCGAAACAAGACAATTTCGAGGCCAAATCTCTGTGAACAAAGTGCATCGCTTCCAAATATTGGCAACCTTTAGCAACATCCACACAGATACTGAGAAGATCATCTAAAGTCAAATCACACTGTTTCTTTTCTGTCGGTCTCTCATCTCGAAGATACGAAAGAAGATCGCCTCCTCCATGAGCTCTAATAAAATGGAATTATTTCGGATCAAGACAAACACCAAGAACTTTAAGAATGTGGATGTTTGAAGTTCCCCATGATTTTAGCTTCTTTCATGAAATCATCTTTTTCTTGTTCTGATGCATCTGATTTTAATTTCTGTGAAAAAATCAACTCAATTAGTGTTATTAATGGTATAATTGATCAGCCATTAGAATTAAAGAGAATTACCTTTATCGCAACGGGCAATGAAGCATCGAGGCTTCCGACAAGCTCAGGATCAGTGAACAAGCCACGAAATACTTGACCAAAAGCTCCACAACCCAAACGATCTGTTTGTTTGAATTGACTTGGTGAAATTAATCTGATGGACGACAATTCATTTTCTATTCCAGTATCTCTGTTAATAATAATGATGAACGAGTAATCAAATGATTATTTTCTTTGATCAAGTATCTTTTGTGAATCGTTTAAATTGCAATAAACTTACCCTGGTAGATAGAGTCTATTGTCTTCATGGGGATGATCTGGAAGTTGGGTCAAGCTGATTAGATTTCGTTCATGTCCTCGTTCAGATTCCTTGAGAACTTCTTTCTCATTAGTTTGCGATTTCATGACTAGATTATTAAGGGTTTAGGGTTAAAGTGGTTAATGGAAGCGAAAAGGAGTAAAAACAAGCAATTAGCAAACAATTAAAGATTTAAAGCCAAGACAAGCAGTTAAGTAATCATTTCATTAGTAATTAAGTTAATTATTTTACCTTTTCTGGCAACAAAAGCAAAATAATAAAAACATTAATGATCCAAGAATAGTCAAACAAAGAGTCTTGAAATCGGCTGAAGATGAAGGATGAATAATCAAGATCTCATGGTCAGCAGTTGAGTGGACAAAGGGCATCAGTTGAACCGTTGGATGGACCAAAACAAGGAGATTAATTTGTCATCCAAAGCGAATGAATTATGATAAATCTCTCCATCTGGATTAACCTCTTCCTTGCACAATTCAGTTCCTGAGATCCAGTAAAATATCATCATGGTGAACCAAACCAGCAACGTCTTTGAATCGAGAGGCGACAACATTTGGTCTTATATTGGTCACATTGGTTCCGTCCATAGATGTTGACCAGATCGTCTCATTGTGAGGAAAGTAAATACGTTTTCGTGAATAATCAATGGTGAATATTTTGGTCAATGGATCTCGGAAAACGAATGATTTCGGTTTACCGTTGGAAACAGAATTGGGCCTCGGTAACTTGATCAAAGAGGTTCGGTAGAGTCCACTTCTATCAAATGGATTGGAAATGGACCAATAGAGATATTTGTTAACTGGATCAACATGTAAATCTTTGGCTCCACTGATTAAACTAGGTAAACACCATGTGAATGAAATTGTTAATTCATCTAAATTGAAACAACCAATTGATGAATCGAAAAGCATATAAACAATATCATGAACCCAATCAATGGCTATTTTGTTAATGGCACTTGGCCAATGATCACCAGGAACTGGTAACGGTAAAATGGATACTCGAGGCTTAGAATCAACTTGATTGCCTAAATTGTTATCAATCTTCCAAATGGTTCCATTAGACAAAGCAATTAAAACCAATTTACGTTTAATATGCAAATCAACGGACACAATTGTGACATTATCATCACTATCTAGACTAAAAGTGTTGACCCATCCATAAGGTCAGTTGAGTAATTGTAAACTGACCGATTCGAGGAGACAAGTAGATATGGTGGAACTGTCAGATCAGTTAGACCTTCAGTTTCATTGAAAAATGGTGTAGTGACATTCAAGAGGGTCAAAGGTCCCTCGCCTTGCGAGTTGATACTTGATAATCCAATGGTGTACAAAGTGGACGGTTTGAGACCAACGAATGTATACTGCAAAGGTGTACTGTGATTGTATTGGTACTAGAGCCAAATTAGCAGAATGGGTAATTGAATTGACGAATAGGATGGAGATGAGCCGTTGAAATGGGTCGCAATCGCTTCTCATCGGTCGCATATTCATAAAGGTACAAAACATACGCAATTATGTGGTCATTGGGAAACTTTGGTGCTCTCAAGTTACAAAATCTCATGTGGGGTTGGTGCTGATTCGAGTTATTTCTGGTGCTACAATTGGTCGGCCCCAAGGAAGTGTTCGTAACACTAGACTAGGTCTTGATTGTATTGGTGCACAGTCAGGAGCCGGTGAATAGATTAGTCTAAATCGGTAATCAGTGAACGGTTTAAGATCTTCAATGAAGCTCACATTTATACCACGATAAGTGCTTCGAGTTGGCATAATCATACCAAGTGTTGTTTTCCATATAATCCTCGAATCTGTACTGGACAGTATAGTTTATATTAATCTCTGGATGTGATGACCATTCCAATAGCAAAGATCGGTTGCCGATACTATTAGCGACCGGGTGAGGTTGCGGCAGTGGTTTAAGTTTTTCTGCTAATTCTGAGCAATAAGCTTGACGAAACGAGCGACATCCACGAAGACATGACGACACCTTAAAGTTCAATCAAAATGAACAGAAAAAATAATCAAAATGAAAATTCAACACTGAGAATCAATGAGAAAAAAGTATCGATGGATTTTTTGTTCTATCATATAGTTGATTAAACAATTGCCACACCGGTGATAATTAATATGGTTTGATAACCTTGCACAATAAGTGAGATAATGACCAGTATAAAGGTCAGTCAAAGATTGTTACAATCAATAATCTCAACGGTTAATTATATATTGATGTTGAAAATTAGTTTTTCCTTCTTGATTAGATTGTTAAATTAAGACAAAAAACTTTGTTTCTTCGAAAATTTGTTGAAAAAAAAGTTTACATTAAAACGAAACACAATTAAGGCGAAAGTGTTACAATCGTTTTGTCAAATGATTATCGACTTAATTGTATAATTAATTGTGAGAGTAAACAATTATTGACCTATTAAGACAAAAACACTATTAATATTGGACTGATTTAATTTTCCAAACGGAATCAAATTAAAATTGAAAACAAGAGCAGATAAAAAAGTAAAAACCTAATCCAAACCAAACGTAAAAACAACAAAACCGTAATTATAATTGTTGGTGCTTTTTGTCATTTGATTGTAATGTTGGTTAAATTATTGTCGTTTCTTAATTGTGGTTCATCATAATTCTCGTAACAATCAAATTGAACTTGTCAAATTATTCAAGTATAAGGGTTAATTGTTGTCATCAAAATGAGAAGAAAGAAAAAGAAATCAGTGAGAAATAAATCGTTACAGGTCAGTAGTTACAATTTACTTTCGATGACAATTATTTTTTTCTAGTCTCCATTTAGATATCAAAGTTGACCCTCGGTCATGCCGGTCAAGCAGATATAGTCTAGAAGTCTTTTGATTGTCGATTAGCATTCAAAGATTAATTTACCTCAGTTTGATTTGATGTTAATTTAGTTGAGTTACAGATTGTTGAACATGAGAGATCTTTGTAATCTCGTGATTTTTGGCATCCTAATTGACACTGCAAAGAAAAAAATTAAAAAGTTATTAGTAAATTGTAAATATATTAGCTCCAAAAAAGAGGGACGAGGAAGCTATTTAATCACTCGCCAAATTGTATCATTGGATAGATTAGACTGATCGACGCGATGATTAGTAAATCAAATCTTTTAATGGTCAAAATAAGTGATCAGTTTACTTTTTCATCTACTGATTGGAATCAATGATCTGATCAGTTTTACGTTCAAATGGAATTGTTATTGAAAAGAAAACCAAATTGATCTCAACCAAGGATATGATAGGTGATCATCACCAACAGAATCAGTGTTAAATGCAACAATTAATCAAAACAATCAACTGATATTTACTCAGTTAACATAATAGTAAATCGAAAAGCGTAAATTTTCCTGTCAGTGATCATGATGATTGAAGAAAAAATGAATTTTAATCTATAAAATTTTCGATATCAATTCTCAGGTAATTACAATCGGAAATTGATTGGGATGAAGACACAAGTTTAAAGAAGACACAACAACCTTGTTACTGTTTCTGCAGAACAAATTAACCAAGTAATCAATTAGAATGTGATAATGGACTTTGATTTATTATTCAATTGAATGAGAATTGAGGTAAATTGTTGATCAATTAATTGGTGTGAACAATTACCATCAATTGATGGCATGAAATCGACACAATTTAAAAGGAAGATCACAAAAGGCTTTCGAATTCATTTAACTAATAAATGTAAACGAAAAAAATAAGATGAAAAAGAAAAGTGAAAATAAAGAGAAGAAGAAAAAAACTGGATGGTAAAGGACAGAAAAAGTGAAATGATTAAATTAAAAGGAACTTGATTTAATAGCAGAAAGAGAAACTCGAAAGAAGAATTAAGTTGACAATTAACTCGAATATTGAGAAAAAATTGTCATCAATTGGTAACATCAACTTCCTTTTCCTTCCCTGTCAATTGAATATTTCTTCTTATTTTTTTCATCCATCATTCGCTCTTCATTAATTGGGTAACGTTCTTGTGTTAATCGGATCGAGATCCATCATCAGCCTGATTGTTAATCCAATTTACGATTTAATTTTCGGTACAATTAGGGGTTAACTGTAGTTGTAGGTTGAAAGGAGGAAAGGCTTGGGTCTACCAAAGGGATTCGGTCAATTGGTTTTCCTCTTCTTCTCCTCCTCTTCCTCTCAATCTCACCTCCTCTTACGAAGCGGTGACAATAAGATGAAAAACATTGGAATCGAGATGATAATTACAATTGTTCATTACGAATGAACAATTAGTTAATCACATGACAACCAAATTAATCTAAAGGTAAGCAATCAAAGTGGGAGGATTAAAAGGTAAACATAGTGATGGGTGAAAAAAACGGTCCATTTGAATGATAAGAAAAAGGATTAAACTTTCGATTATTTCATGTTGATATTTAACTTGTCGTCGATTGAAGGATTACTTTCATTTGGCTTTCACATGTCACATCTAAATGGTTAATTAATTGTCTCGCTTAATCTCATCTACTTACAACCCTAATCACAATTAAATGCTCATCGATTTCATTTTCTGTTGATCAGTGAATGTCAGTGTCTTTCCTTTAAGGTGGTTCGGTGATTTTTGTGACTTTTTTGTTCCTTCACTTTGTTAATTGTTATTGGTGATTTAATCACAAGGCTGATGGTGATTACAATTATCCCAAATGATTGGATTCACTGAATCACCGGATAACCATGGGATTTTGTTTGTGACTTTAATCAAAGGATGCATTGCTGGATTAACACATTAATAATTCTGTTTTATGGATTAATCCGGATAACTTTTGCAGATTATTGTGGTAAGAATCAAGTCAATTACAATTGTATCAGATTATTAATATGATAACATTTTCCAAAATTCAAAAAATCAGCAAATTGATTGTTGTCAATGTGTCAAAAATGGTGTAGCTTCACACTCAGTTATTAAATTGATAATCTGATACATTTAGTCCGTAATTTTAACAGATTAAAACATTTCATGTTAATCTTAACATGTTAATGTCTTAATCTGACAACATTGATACAACTTTCATCTTCTTAACAATTGAGTTGCGATTTTTAATTTTGCTGTTTTGTCTTATATGTACTTTTGTAGATTGTGGATTAAGTGGCCTTCAGAAACGAGTCTACGGGGGTAACGAGACATACGCCAATCAATACCCATGGGTAGCTCATTTAAGGTCAGTTACCGTTCATAGTCCAGTTCCATATCTTGACTAGTATCAATTCTCATTATGAGAATATTAATTTGTGATTTACCTAAAAAGCAATTGAAATTATCATGACCGTGATTGTGATTATCAGTTGATTCCTATTGAGTTTCATGATTTCATTTTGCTGGACAATGGCCTCGCTCTTGGGTCAGTAGGAATAAACTTAGATACTACTGACAAGTTATTAATGAAAAAATAGAAAATGAATCGCAACATTCATATGAACGAATCTTTCATTATGTTTTTCCTCTTATGATCTTTTCTTGTTTCCTTGACAATTTACACCCTGGTCCTTATATTTAGCTTGTTTTCTGTTTCCTTTTCCTATTCTTCAGTAGAGTCCAAGGGTAGGGCCACTTTTGTCACGGTACCGGAAACGATGTTTCTATTATGCAAAGTATCATCTTCCTTCATCCTCAGTTTACTTCAAATTTTATTTCACACTAAATTCAACTTATTGTTATAAATGATCACAATGTAATACACCACATGATGATAATTCTGATCTGAACCAACAAAAAACTCACTATAACAGTGAAAGTTTTGAATTGATTAAAAAACGATTCGAAAAAAAGTTGAAACAAATCATGAACCAGGTCTTTTTTCTTGTTAAATTCAACTGAAGTTCTCATATTAACACCCAATCAGTTCCTTAGGGTATTTTCATGAGAGCCTTTATCATGTTGGTGATATTTTCATGTTTGTTCATGAAAAATCAAGAGATGAATGAAAGTACATGTTGATAAATGGCCTTAAGATTAGTGTTATTGTCACAGTCAAAGGTTGTCAATATTATTATCAATAACTTTGATTATTGATGTTAATTGTAAACATTGTGCTCCAACTACAGATATTTGCATTGATTTTTAGTCTTAGCGTTTTTTAAGAGATACGTTTGTTTGTCTTTGATGCAAATCACTGACCATTGGTGACTTTTCTAGCTTGATTAAGTAAACTCGAGATTAAAAGTTAGCCATAAGTAATAATGTGATTAATCAAACACTACAATTTGACCTTCTAATTGTGTAAATACAAATATCACTGCAAACTTAAAATTTGTCAACCCAAGAAAGTTAAGTCAACAATCGAGGTTAACCATAATCAACGGAAATCGAACTGATCTTTTGAGGTCCGTGTGTTATATTTGAGCTCTTTTTTTATCCTTTGTCTTGTTCATCATTTTCTCATAGATTTTTCAATTACATTGGTGGTGGTCAGTATGGACTTTGTGGTGGTTCTCTTATTGACCATTGGCATGTCGTAACGGCGGCCCATTGTTTACACGACGAGAAGGGCAATGTCCGTGATCCCAGGGCCGTTCAGGTTTACCTTGGAGTACATAACCTTTACCTGCTGCCAAGAGCCCGTCAAGTGGCCTACTTTATTATACCCGATAATTATGATTCCACTAAACCGGTTAACAATGATTTTGCCATACTTCAATTGGCTGAGCCAGTTGAATTTTCAGCCAGAATATCACCAATCTGTATACCAAAAGATGATATCGAACCGTACCAAAGGTTAACCGTTGCTGGTTGGGGACATTTAGGTCCTAATCAAGGGACAGCGGCTGCACTACAACATGTTGATGTTTATCATGTCGGCAGTAAGTTGATCACTTAATCCACGAGCTTTTTTCCTTTCGCGAACTTTCTTGCTAATACTTTATTTTATTCCTAATCCTTTGTAGAAGGAGATTGTTACGATATGGTCAAGGATTATCTCTATCGAACTCATCCAATTGTCCGTTTATTTCCCCACAAATTCATCATTCCTCCAATTCATGAGAATCATATGTGTGCAGTTGATGGTTCAACTGGTGGAGACGCTTGTCAAGGAGATTCGGGTGGTCCATTAATGTATCTTAATCCAAGTAACAATCGTTATTATCTTGTTGGCGTTGTTTCGGGTTCGTATGACCTTTGTGGTGATGAGATGACCCCAGGATTTTACACTATGGTCAAAATGTTCAGACACATCATTGAGTCGGTAGCACCAGAATCTCATGTATGTTATTACTGATTCAAGAGCAATTATTATTTCTTACCAAAATTGGTACAATAAATTGTCATCAACTCAACGAATCTCCATTCATATGCCGACAAAAGACTCGACAGACACAAATCCAATCAAATCTTGCATAAATCAACAACTAATTAATTAACTGATTAACTAATTGTTGATCGACTTACATGAACCAGTTTTATGGTTCGCATTCAGTTGATTAACCAAATTGTTCATTTCTTCAATGGAAATCATCAAGTTTAGAAACCCAATTTTCTTAAAAATTTTTGTGATCTATTATCAATATTAACTAATTGTGATTATCTAATTAATTTATTTTAAAGAAAATTTTGATTCACTTCTTGATTTGATCTTATTGTAATTTGTTGATTACCTAAGGACCACAACTACTGGACAATAGGACGATACAATTGGAAAGACTGATTAGTAGTACAATGTTTTTATTAATTATCAACGAAAACTATTAATCTCTGACCTCAAATTTTACTACAACAATTAAAAAGAAATTAAAAAGTAACACATTTTATTACAATTGAATTCGACGAAAAGTTAAATTATTCTTCATACTTTCTTTTCTTTCTTTTTTATCATCCTCATCATCTTAACCCACAGACTCCTTCCTTTCTCCCTCTCTTCTCAACAACTTCCGTTCCCAGGCCATTTAAATATCGATGACAATGCTCTAGGTATGGTCAAGGACAAAGGATTGATTGACCAGTACGTGTAATCTCACCACGTACCAAGTCATGCAAAGGCATTTTCAGCGCAGT